TTCTTCTCAGCGCTGGTAGAGACATCAGAGGCAGCTTCGGGTTTATTCTCGGCGCTGGCTGCGACGGCTTCTGGTTTCTTCTCAGCGCTGGCGGGGACATAGGAGTCGGCCTCGGGTTTTGTCTCAGCGCTGGTGGAGACATCCGAGGCGGCATCAGATTTCTTCACTCCACCATCATAGTCAAGATCGTCGGCGATAGCGAGGGGGCTGGTGGAGGCAACCGTGAGGGAGAGAAGAAGCGCTAGAGCGAGCTGGGCTCTCATGGCAATCAACGGGACAGTGGTGGTGTGGCAGTGGAATGAAATGCCAGCAAGAGGTTGGAAGGTATTTGAATGGCGAGCGAGGGAGGGAACGAGAGGTGGCGCCGGTCTTGCATTTTCCCTGGAACAGTAGCCACTAATCTCCAACTAATTGATCCTGTAAAATTACGAGCCTGCCGTGAAGAAAGGAGCCGAAAGAGAAGGCGGGAGCTTTACAATCTCCGGTTTTGCTAAATAATAAGGATCCTTTTTTAACATCTTTTCTAGGAGAACAATGTGCTATTTTCCAAAATACTCCCTCCGTTTTTAAATACTTGTTTTTCTAGTCATTTTAACAAATGACTACGTACGGAGCAAAATGAGTGAATCTACACTTTAAAATATGTCTACATACATCCGTATCTAGTAGTCATCCGTATCTAGTAGTCATTTAAAATGTCTAGAAAGACAAATATTTAAGAACGGAGAGAGTAGGCAGCATGCATGCAATTTTCTTTTTCTTTTTTTGAGAGACGCAGTTTTCTCAATAACATGTGGGCCCAGACGCGAGCTGTCGACCATAACAAACGGAGGGGCCGAACAATGTGTTACCACTAGACGCAAATCAGATTACTTGTTATCAAACAAGACACACCTCAAACCCTAAAAAAAAATCAAAACACCCCTCAAGAAAAAATCTGACAACTCAGACATGTTGCAAAAAATTGCTTTCATGCATCTAGCAAAATTACCATGCTATATAGCCATGGTTGCAGCAAGTTCATCGCAATGGAAGATGGGATATTGCTGACTACAGAAACTCTAGATCTTCCTTCTGCTGCTCCAGAACAACTGTGGCAAATGCCCGTCTATACGCCGCTGATCTCGCGTTCCTGACAAGAACACAGATCTCTTGACCCAGCATACTCTTTTCATTCCATTGCTCTTGTCGCAACGCCGCCAGAAGCCTTGCATCACAGAACGCAACCGCAGCACCATCCTTCCCAGTGCTGCCATAATTAAAGCAGATGCAGGCTGAGTGTTCATTAAACAGGACAGCATAACACTGACATGTGCCAGTTGACAAGGAGAGCAAGTGTTAACCTTCCATGTACGAAACCAGTCGTGACAAAGCCTATCGGCCATCTCAATGCTTTCCGTGTGGTGTCATCTTTGGGACCCAGACATGGAAAATAAGAACTGATATGGGACTGCGGGAGCTGGACTTTCCATTTTTCTAGACATTGTTCCTCATCCTCCTCTGATCTGTAGAAATCACGAAAATGGATGACTTTTCTTTTACAGATTCACTCATCGCTTCCTTCCTATAAAAGAAAGCGGTGGGGTACAGAACTAAATGTTTTCGATTAAAAGAAGAGTAGCAAACGGATTTTCTTGAAAACGAAACCACACTCTACTAAATAAAATAACTGTGAACTATCTAAAAGAAGGGCAGCATGAATGTTATGGCTTGCAGTATATGTGAACCAGAATTTTCTTGCCTGCACGTCTACACCTACTCAATATACTCTTATTGGAAGAATTTAATATAGCTCCAATGTCCAAACCTCCATCAGCAAATATAAAGCTTACAGATATGTACCTGGTTTTCCAAGCTGTAAGATCTGATAAAAATGGTGCACAAACTACAGCGCCATCTTCAAAGAAACCTTCCTTGAACACTCGAATCAGGACCCTTACAAGGTATAATCCATTTACAGGAGATGGCGTCTTAACAGTGCCACCAGAAGCCAATTTGGGCTCATCAATATCGATTTCCATCTCAGATGAAGAACTCAAAGACATCATATCAAGTTCTTTCACATAATGTCTCAACGTTTGAATGGTTCTTGGCACAAAGAGTTGGAATGAAGCAACGACAGTTGTCGGTGATGATCCAGAATCTCCACAGTTGGAATTTAATGAGAAACACTCAGGTAACACCGTATCAGAAGGCTTTAAGTCATCTACTTCAAGACATCTCACCGTGCCATCTTCTTTATTTAAACTAGCCATGATATGATGCCATGAAGGAGGTACAGGAACTCTTGGAGGTCTCTTGGCAGCAGGGCGGTACTCAGCTGCTTTATCAAAAACAGCAGCCTCTTTTGTCATAAATGATGAATATGCTTTGCTGTCTGGGTAATCATAAGGGAAGCATGGTATCTTTAACTGCAAAAAGGATGGCCAGTGTATTAATATTGAAGATATATCCAAATGAGCAATGGAAGCGGAATCAGCACTGCTCTCCTTAATGCAAAATACCGAATAGTAACAGATGCCATAGAAGTACAAAACTATATAAGGAAGCTAATTCAGCAAAGGCAATAACAATTATAAGAACCTCGTGTTACATATACAATACCTGTGATGCAATCCACCGTCTCTCTCTTAAGCCAATCGCGTGTGCACCATGAGATACTAGAAAGAGCCAAAAAGGCTTTACCCAGCTCAAAGGCACGATAATGGACCACCTGTACATTCATTGAATGTCAAACAGCAATTAGCTCAAAGAGAGAACATGAAGCAATAAGAAATCTTCAAATAAAGGGGGTAACATGCTGATGTAATATAAATAGCAAAACCCTATAATAAGAAGATTAACCAAACAGATAAAAAATGCTGGAATTACCCGAGGGTACCAACCTTTCTTTAGCATGTTTCAGAAGAATAACAGGGCAGGATCGACTGAAGCAACCATTCGCTTGAGTTGCTTGTCCTTGGTCATTTTCAGAATCCAGGCAGAAAAAATTTATACGTCTGTGGTGTTTTTCCATACAAAGGATCTCCTCTGCCACTGGGGGAATTATCTTACAGCCAGAATCCCACATTTCTCTACAGTCAGAAAGGAGCAAATCATGCCTTCCAGAGTGCATTTGCATTGATGAGAATATGTGTCTCTCCTCGGATGGTGCCTCCAGGTCTCCCCCCTCCAAGAGTTTGTTCTCCTGGTTCGTAACTGTTTCCGAAGGAGAATCTGTCCCCTGAGATGAAACCTCCCTGGGGTCATGAACTATCATGGACAGTATAGCACCAGGCTGAAGAATCTCAGCATGATCGATGACAGATGCTTCCAAAACATGAGGGCCAGTAGAGGAATACACAGAATGATCAGTTGGTTTAGACATATCACTTGTATCAAGTATCCTGTTGATCATACTTCAATAGCTCTCGTTAGAAAAATGTATGTTAGTATGCATAGACATAATTATTATGAATGCAAAAAAGAAAGGAAAAAGAAAGAATAACTTACTTACTAACTGGGTGCAATATACTCTTAAGAGATTGCATAGCCTTGCATCCCATGACTTCCAATCTTGCAATTTTCCCCTCTAGTGAACAACAGTTGACCAGAACACCAGAATCTTGCATCTGCAATGTGAGGCAACATATTTTTTTGGCAACAGTGAGGCAACATATTTTTTTGGCAATATGTGAGGCAACATATTGAATAGTGGCAAGAGAGTAAGGATGGTTCACTACACGGAAGAAATTTGTTTTTATAATTGCTATGGAGAAGTAAGCCCTGAGTTGCATAAGATAAATTAAGCAAACCAACAGCAGATAGGTTTGTTCTTTCAGATAATAAGAATAGATAATTTTTGAGTGTCAAGATACTCGTACTAAGCAGATGAATGTCCCTCAGTAGAATTTAAGAACTGTTCAATTACTAAGTTTATGTTTTAAAATCATGAAACAACGGAATTGGCTCTGCTAATGTTCTTTTAATGATGAAACAATAAAATTGACTTGTATCTCCTGGTTAAATAATAGCATGTGAACTCATGGTTATACTTGGACAGGGAGACTCGCATATAAATCATGAGATATGGCAAGAGTTATTCTACTGTTGTTTGTCTTAGACCCCAGTATTGACATGCATGCTATAAATGTTGGACATTCAACTCTTTAAATATAAAGAAAATGGACAGGTTTCCTTGAAGTCGACTGAATGTAGGTAAGATAAACAAAACAAAAAGGATAGACAAAGAGCACACAAAGAAAAGCGAGCATTCTGATTCTACAGAAATAGATGAAGCACCTGTTTGTCACATGCAATTCTTATTGCATCCAGCCCTTCATCCAGCATAGCAGGATGAATCCATATCCATAATTGGCGTTGTGATGAACTGCAGCTTCCTTGACTAAATCTAGTTTCAGAATTGGACAAATCTGCTTCTTTGGCCTCCAATTTGCTACTCCCTATTGAGAATGGCCGCCACATGTATGTCACTGGTCCAACAACATGAGAGTGGGGGCACCCAGCACGCCGAAGCTGGAAAGACCAATCAAGACGCACTTGTCATTCCAAACACTATTCTACCTACACTGTCTGGTAAATATGCAAATACCGTAGCGTTCTCAATGCAAACACCTTGCATAACTTTATCTTGTAGGTGCTTTAAGTCAGGTGTTTTATCTGCAGGAGATGGACAAATAACCATTCCCAGAATGGATAATAGGGAGTCCTACAAAAGTTAGCCAGCAACAAGATTAGTTTGTTAAACTATTACAAATGTCAGTCGGTATTCGGTAATAAAGACAATCAAGATATAAAGCACAGGCTAGCAACAGAAGAAGGAACTTCCACCTCTGGACCGTCTAGTTGAATCGGAATGAAGTAGCTAGCATCATGAACAATTGTTCCAGTTTTCAACCGCTTGAGAACTGCCCGTGAACCCCTCCCGCTGCAAGATGGGATGCTGACCTTGTTACTCATTTAAATCCACATATACGATCTTAGTGTTCATAAAATATAATCAATTTGTGAAGTTAGTCCACTGGATGTAAGATTAATTTCAGGAACACTACTAACTTGTACAGCCTATCACATTCTACTCCACACAATAATGGAACTGGCACGTAATGATTTGCACACAAGCTTTGCCTTTTGCCACTTAGATGAGCTAGCAATTTACATCCTTTTGCTAACCAAAAACGCTGTTTCAGAAAAGAGAATTACAAAGGATCGAAACTGAGAAGCAAGCTACAGTGGAATGATGAGAATTGCCTTTCATTATGAATCAACACTACAATTTGACACTGCTTTGAGCACGCTGACCAAATAAATTAACACTTCAGCGTAGAAAACTGTATCTCATCTCCTCTCTCGGTTTGAGCAGAGGAACACAAATGGAAGGGCTCTTTTGGCACTCACCTCCCCTGGGAGCAAATGGGCAAGACGAAACCCCACCGTCTTGCCATGGTGAACCTCTTGGCATGCCATAGGTGAGTGCGCAGCCGCCGCGCGCCGTCGCCAGCGAATGAGAACCCCTCCGCAGGGTTGCCAGCTAGCTCTTGCCGGCGCCTCACCCTCCTCGACTGACGCGCCGAGGGGTTACCCTCCTCAGGAGCCTGGCCCGCCGCGGCACCTCTGCTTGCGCGGCCGCGCTTGGAGGGGAGGTGCCCCGTGGTGCGGCGGCGTGCGGAGCGGGGCTGCTGGAAGCGGCCGTCGACGCGAGCTGAGACGGCCGCGTGCAGGGATCGTAGCTCTCCGACGCGGTCAGACGCGAAGCGCCGAACTTCGAGCTGCCGCGGTGGCGGGGGCACCGCGCCGCCGCCAGCCATTACTGGAATGGAAGGGTTTGTGAGAGTTTAGGGCCTGTTCGGAACCTCTCCCGACTCCTCCAACTCTGTAAATTCTGCTTCTCGCTCCACCCAGCGCCAGCTTGGGCCAGCTGGGACCAGCCCAATTCAGCAACCTGTACAGAGGCGAGGGCAAACAGGCGTCAATGGCTCGGGCGTCAATGGCGATGGGGTCGCTGCTTCTGGCTGGCGGCGGGGTCTCGGGTGTACGGGCTCCAGCGGGGAAGAGGTTCGGATGGATGAATCTGCCGGCGGAGGACTGGTTCCGTCCGGCGATCGGGAGATCCGGGCGCGGCGGCGGGATGGGCGGTGCTGCGCCCTGCGGAGGGTCCGAGACTCGAGAGGGAGAGATGTCGAGGACACGAGCAGACCCGGCACGGCGCGGCCCACCTAGGCACGCCTAATACACGGGCCGTGCGGGCCGGCACTCGTGCCGCGCTCCCTGACTGAGACCCCAGAAGGAAACGGGACGACCCATTGGCACGTTGAGCCCAGCAGTAGTTTCTGGGCCTATTTCGACTGTTTGGGGGCCTAATGTATAAAAAAAATCTGAAAAATAAAATAAAAAAGTAAACGGGTCGTGCCGGCGCTCGTGCCTATCCTCGTGGCCCAGGCACAACCTAGGCGGGCCACATGCCAGCACATCCTGATTATAAACATGTGGGTAAAGGCCCACCACAGGCCCGACACACAGGCTACAGGGCCAGCACGCCAAGACCTACCATTTGACCGGGACCTCCTAATGGGCGCCTTCTGCGCCGGTTGAAGGTTCCAGCGCCCACGCGCCTGCACATATGGGCTGGCCCACCGCAAGGGACGCGATCGATTGTCCCGCGAAGAAAACACAAAAAAATAGCGTGTACGAGTAATAGAACTCGCGCCGTGCAGCCAGAACTAACTAAAATAATCAGCTAACCACCACACCACCTGAGCGCCAGTGATTAATAACAACGCGAAAACTTTAAGAATCATTGTGTCCGCGCTATTTATTAGACTTTTGAGTTATTTTGTTTTTTCAAAATTTTATTTTTTTTTTATGAAAAAGGGCTCATAAAATTTCGAAAATAGTTCACGAATATTTTTTTATGAACTTAAAAACAGTTCATCGAAGTTTTTTAAAAAGTTCATCAAGTTTGAAAAAAAGTTCATTGATTTTGAGAAAAGTTCACCAAATTTTAAAAATGTTCATTGAATTCGAAAAAAAAAATCATCAAATTTGAAAAATGTTCATAGAATTTGAAAAAAGTTCACAGATTTGGTAAAAAAGTTCATCAAATTTGAAAAAAAGTTCATTGTATTTGAAAAAAAAGTATATCAAATTTGAAAAAAAGTTCACCAAGTTTGAAAAAAAGTTCATTGATTTTGAGAAAAGTTCACCAAATTTTAAAAATGTTCATTGAATTCGAAAAAAAGTTCATCGAATTTAAAAAAAGTTCATAGAATTTCAAAAAAGTTCACAGAATTTGTAAAAAAAGTTCATCGTATTTGAAAAAAAGTTCATTGAATTTGAAAAAATGTTCATTGAATTTGAAAAAGTTCATCAAATTCGAAAAAAGTTCACGAATGTTAAAAAATGTATTTTTAGAAAAGTTTAGCAAAACAACTGTTCCAAAAACGAAAAATGAAATAAAATAAAAAACCCAAACAAAAGCATTCTAGGAAAAAAAAGAAAAAAAAGAAAAGGTATAACAAGGAAAAAGCTTTGAGTAAACAATTTCAGGAGGGTGGCTTGTTGATTGTCACAGCGAACACTGAGCCAAGAGATCGGTAGTTCGAGTCACGTTGCACACGTTCTTTTTTGCGTCTCTAAAAACAGGAAAAAAAAGTAACATGGGCCGGCCCAGGGCGGTGCATGGGGTGTGCGCCCTGTACGGTTAAGCCTATAACCGCCGCTACGGGCGCCGTTTAGGAAATGCCCATTTGACCACCTTTGAACACGAGTGGACTGTCTAATCGTTTTCTTTGATGGTGGCAATGCTTTTTCTCCACGAATGCTATATCTTGCTCTCTTTTTTGAGTTGATGCTATATATCACATACAACATGTATATAACATCGTCTCAAAGGCCCGCGTATATAAGGCCGGTCCATTAGTCAGGTCACACTGTCGCTAGCGGTCACTCCCTTGTTCGACGTAGTGGTGTGGTCTATTTTTCTTCTTTCATTTTTTTCTTTTTCTTCACCGGTTTTCTTCGGCTTTGGTTTTTTCATTATTTTTCTTGGTTTCTTTCATGGTTTTATAAAAAAGCATTCTCATTTTTTTCTTGGTTTTTCATTATTTTATTGACTTTTTGCTTTTTTGCTTTTTTGTTTCTTTACATTTCTTTTTCATTTTTATTGATTTTACTTGTTTTCTTTGTACATTTGAATATTTTATATAAACATTACATGTTTTTCAAATACATGCTTAATTTTTTGACAAATTATATTTTTATGTCTAATTTTACAGACACACTGTACATTTTCTTATACACAATGAAAATTATTTTTATATACACATTTAACATTTTACAAATACATGTTTAACATTTTTTACATTTATTTTTTATGTCTGTTTTTCATGAACATTGTATGTTTTCTGTATACACGAGAAACAAATGAAAACAAAAAATGTGAAAAAACGAGCACTTTGAGGCCTGTGAGCTCCCGTCGGCCCTGTCTAGCACTTGCTTCAGGCGAGGTAGCCATAGGCAAGACATAGGTGCGTTTGCATTTTTGGGTGGAGCTGGGTTTTCATAGCTTCTCTAATTTGCACTATGGCCCAGTTCAGATTTTTTACAACAAGGTGGAGACACTCACGGCGCCAAATTTCATTTAAGCATACACTCTGCAGGATGGTCCAAACGCGACACTACATGAGATACCCTTCGACGAAACTGTGTGCGATGTCATAATCGCAAACAGTGGTATAAAAAACCGTCAAAAAAGGTGCAAAACGTTTGCGATGATGGATGCATTAAACACGGTTCAAATTTTAGTTATGTGTGTGATGCAGGGCATACGGTTCAGTTCAATTAACTGTTTGGGATAAGGAGAAACAAAAGAAATGGGCAGCCACATGAAGGTGTGTGCGATATACAGCATACAGGTCACTAGTATGAACTGTGTGTGATTAGGCAACACAATGCAAACGGTTCAACTGAACAAGATGTATGTGATACGCGGCAACAGGTCCGTAATCAGAAATGTGTGTGAAGACCAATAATAACACAGACGATTGCTGCTAATAAGCCGTGTGATTTGCTCTGTCTACAGAAGAATAACATGTGTGTGTAACTGAAATAAACATCAATTACATAAGTGACTATACAGATCATTCGCGCGCACCTCAATAAACAATTGCATGCACTCTAAAGTAGGAGAAACGATCATCTAGTCATCTACTTCTTGTGACGCTCCCGCCACTGCTATGTGATACGTCTCCGTCGTATCTACTTTTCCAAACACTTTTGCCCTTGTTTTGGACTCTAACTTGCATGATTTGAATGGAACTAACCCGGACTGACGCTGTTTTCAGCAGAATTGCCATGGTGTTATTTATGTGCAGAAACAAAAGTTCTCGGAATGACCTGAAACTTCACGGAGATTATTTTTAGAAATAATAAAAAATACTGGCAAAGAATCAAGGCCAGGGGGCCATACCCTAGCCACGAGGGTGGGGGCGTGCCCCCTGCCTCGTGGGCCCCCTGGAGCTCCACCGACCTCAACTCCAACTCGATATATTCGTGTTCGGGGAGAAAAAAATAAAGGAGAAGGATTCATCGCGTTTTACGATACGAAGCCGCCGCCAAGCCCTAAACTCTCTCGGGAGGGCTGATCTGGAGTCCGTTCGGGGCTCCGGAGAGGGGAATCTGTCGCTGTCGTCATCATCAACCATCCTCCATCACCAATTTCATGATGCTCACCGCCGTGCATGAGTAATTCCATCGTAGGCTTGCTGGACGGTGATGGGCTGGATGAGATTTATCATGTAATCGAGTTAGTTTTGTTAGGGTTTGATCCCTAGTATCCACTATGTTCTGAGATTGATGTTGCTATGACTTTGCTATGCTTAATGCTTGTCACTAGGGCCCGAGTGCCATGATTTCATATCTGAACCTATTATGTTTTCATGAATATATGTGAGTTCTTGATCCTATCTTGCAAGTCTATAGTCACCTACTATGTGTTATGATCCGGCAACCCCGAAGTGACAATAATCGGGACCACTCCCGGTGATGACCATAGTTTGAGGAGTTTATGTATTCACCATGTGTTAATGCTTTGGTCCGGTACTATATTAAAAGGAGGCCTTAATATCCCTTAGTTTCCGCTAGGACCCCGCTGCCACGAGAGGGTACAACAAAAGATGTCATGCAAGTTTTTTTCCATAAGCATGTATGACTATATTCGAAATACATGCCTACATTACATTGATGAATTAGAGCTAGTTCTGTGTCACCCTCTGTTATGATCGTTAGATGATGAACCACATCCGGCATAATTCTCTATCATCGATCCATTGCCTACGATTTTCCATATATTGTTCTTCACTTATTTACTTTTTCGTTGCTACTGTTACAATCATTATAAAACACCAAAAATTTACTTTTGTTACCATTACCTTTTACTACCGTTACCACTACTATCATATTACTTTACTACTAAATACTTTGCTGCAGATATTAAGTTTCCAGGTGTGGTTGAATTGATAACTCAGCTGCTAATACTTGAGAATATTCTTTGGCTCCCCTTGTGTCGAATCAATAAATTTGGGTTGAATACTGATACGTCTCCAACGTATCTATAATTTTTGATTGCTCCATGCTATATTATCTACTGTTCTGGACATTATTGGGCTTTATTATCCACTTTTATATTATTTTTGGGACTGACCTATTAACCGGAGGCCCAGCCCAGAATTGCTATTTTTTGCCTGTTTTAGGGTTTCGGATAAAAGGATCAAACGGACTCCAAACGGAATGAAACCTTCGGGAACGTGAT